GCAGGAGTCGGCGATAGTTGCCGGGAGAGAGTTTGAAACTTCATGAGTGCGGGTTGGGAGGGGGGAGGGGGGGAGGGGTTGGGAGGGTCGTAGTTGGAGCTGTTCATTGGGGTGGGGCTTAGAGAGATTACCGGGGAGGTTGAGGGGAGGGCGAGGCGGCGCACGGCAAAGCCCGATGCAGACAGCTAGGGCTGGGTTGGAGGGGTGGCTGCAAGAGGAAGATGAACAATATGTGATCTATTTTTGATCGTTGGATGAAGATCCAGTGGTTGTTAATAGTGTCTGAGTCGTAGATGAAATTTTCAGGTACTGAAACCTGACTGCACTCCCTTAATTGGTTGCTCCGTTGGTTATCACTTTCTCACTTTAGCTGTACTCAAATTGGCTGATGAAGTTAAGAATCTAGTTACACCTTTGTTACATTTTTGTGCCAAGAGTGTGACAAACCACCATTTGGTCGTCAACTGCACTTTTGTCAATGCTTGGTACTGCGGGAATTACCCCAACTCCACATATGATGCTTTGTGTTCGTTTTGTATACGAAAGAACTGCTCCACACACGATAATTATGGACCGATCCTTGTACGACAAATCAATCCAGCGACTGTCAACTCTTCTTTTTTTGTCAATCCAGCGACGGTTTTCATCTTGAGAGTCCAACTTCCATTCAAACATTCCACTATTTTTTGCAGATAATATGTAGAGTAAGGAAGATTTGTGAGGGTGGCTATTTTAACGCTTGCAATCCATAAACCGCAAGATCAAATGTTGAAAAAAGAACAGAATGAAGAACTTAAAGGCATATAATCGTCTAGCCAGTAGGCGTATGGCTGGGAAACTGAGCGTCACTCTGATAAGCAATGTCAACACTGTCATAATGCCTCCAGATCAAATTAAATAGCAGAACAATGTATCATCTGGACCATGGCTAGGCCTAGACATTTAGACCAGTAACAACTGTAAGAGATATTCGTGCTGGGATCATATCGCAGTACCACAGAAAATACGTGTAATAACTGAAGAGGGGGAAAATCCCATGTATACCAACAAAATACTCAGTAGTGACACCTGTGCACAAAGGGCTACAGCATGGTGAGACTTGACAGTATATCAACACAAGTCATGTTAAACCAACCACGTATCATATCAGCCGACGATCCACAGATGCATCAACATCGAGCGTTAACAGAATATTCTCTAATTATAGCACCGGTATTGCTCCTTCCAACAACTGGTTGCAGTCTCTCAGCCGTATACAGATCACGGAAAATAGCAAAAACAGGGACACTATTGCTACTGTTTCGGTGAAAAAAAATGGAAGTTTCTACAATTGATTTGGAGAATGGGGCTACAAAATTTGTAATGACCTTATGTTGTGTCCAGGAAAGGAATGAAGATACTATAGTTTACGTACCTAATATGGCAATAACAAACCCAGTGCATCCCATCTAAGGTAGCCATCAAGGTGAGGGCTTCCAACTTCAGCAGTGGAATCTGCACACATCTGTGTATCCATTCTGCTACAATGGCACAACAACTGAATGGAGCTCAGACTGTATGTATTTGATCAGGTAAAAAACGTGACAACATCTCTTCTGTATCCCCTAACTATCAACATGCGTGGGACGTTCTCTACAAGCAGATCCATGTACTCCATGTAGAAGTATGCAGGGTGATTCAGCGGTGGCGGAGGGAGGCTCACTAGCACCACAGCTGCCATCCTGGAGTACCTGAGTATCGTCGAGTTCAACTTCAACATTGTATAGAGGAATTTATCGACCTTTTGCTCGTTCACAACAACTTGCTTCCCATCCACCATTTGCGGCCGTCCTTCTCTTTGTGTGGTTTCCTTCATCTCAGAAAGGTATGTGCTGATCCTGCGCTGTGCACTTGCGTAAGCCTCTTGGGAATCATCTGGCTGAGCACCACTGCTACTGCTCTCCACATGAGATTCCCATGACTTCATAGTCACAACAATGACCTCGGCGTGCATCCTAAGATCGTACAAGAACTTTTTGACATCAGTCTTTAGCTCTTCAGCATCAGTGTCCTCTTCCGCTATGCAGAAGACTTGGATCTTGCAGCTTTCGAAGGTCGCTTTTGTGAGCAGGAGCTGAGACAGAAGAAGCATCAATCCTCCATCTCTCACAATCCAGTAGAGGTCAATAGTACCATACTGTCTCTGGAACTCATTAGGCCACTCATCAAGACCCTTCACAATAACAACTGCCTTGTTAGCAGTGATGCAATCATTTATTATACTGACAAAGGTTGATGGTATCTCTGTCAGATTCTCACGGCGCCAAATCTCAGGGTACCGCACCACAACAATATTCGGCTTCAAATTACCAAGGCCCATCGTCTGAACAATGCTACGGAAGCCCTCAGACATTGAAGGTGCTACAATTATCTCTGCAACACCCTCACAACGTTTGTACTCAATGTAGGCCTCCAGCTGATGACAGGCAGTCTTAGCATCCTCAGCCAGTTCATGATAATCACCGTCAATTGTCGAGACAAATATTGACATACCACGGCCCTTCTTCTTCATACAATTGGCGAAATCAGCAAGTTTTGGATGACAAGGGACATTTTCTGGAAGTTTACCCCAAGGGCGGCATAATATCAGAGGAATGGGGTACCAATTCTTAGGATGAACTTGGTTTGCTGTGAGAAGAACAGTGGGGTGAGTGTTAGAATAATGAGTTTGCATAGATTACTCTTTGTCATGCAGAAAGTAATACCTCCTAGCGACCTGAGACTCCGCAATGCCAACTGAAAATATGCACTCTTGAACCCATCTCCCCAATCTCCAGCCTTCCCTTTTAAGCTCACATAGTAATAGATGAGGCTTGCAAGGGCAAGGGAGATAACAGTGAAAGACCAAGAGATCAAAAACATGATGACTGAAATTTGAGAGAAAGATTATTAAGTGGAAAGCACAACTATAAACACAACATGAGGGTGCATTTTAACTAGCTGTGGACCACAAGAAATATGAGGTAAGCAAATTGGATTGAAAATCATACATGTGAATAGAACTCTTAAGTCAAAATTCACAATAATGCCTAAGTCAGTATACATTTTCAAGTATATAAAATAGCATTCAGTAAAAGTATTACAGGCAGCTCAGGATGAATGTCATGGATGACGAAATAAAACAGTGAAGAGTCAAATGGCGTACCAACGCAAAGTAATGCACCAACAAGTGAAAGACTCCAGTGGTGAAGTTTCCATCGAGGGCGCCAACTAGGAGCATCAAGTAAGTCAAGCAGAAAGCACGACAAGTTCACACCAGCATAGCACAACAGAAAGAACATAGTGATAGTGGGTGTAATCAGATCCAAGTTCCCAATAATCACACATCCAATACAGATTAATGCTGTGAATAAAGTTGCTGCGTGAGGTTCGGCTCCTTCAGAAACCTTAAAGTAATTAAGGACTGGAAGGATGTCATCATTTGCTATTGCTGCTAGTAACCTTGGAGCCCCTGTCAAACTCTGCAGTGCTGCACCTAAAGTGGACAGGATAATACCAATGTAAATCACTACTGGAGCAGGCCATGCCACTGTAGCAGTAAGAAGCCTGCAAGTATTAAGGATGTTTATGAGCTAACCACACAATAACTCAGTAACGTAGCAGCTGATGGGACTTAAGACAGAACTGCAGCCTACAGCCATGCTATCAGAACGTAGTTGTTCGATAAAAGAATATAGACAAAAACAGATTCAACAACTATGTGTGTTGTATATAAAGCATGAATATTGACCGTGTAAAGTAGATTAGTCGACAGAACTTTCTTGTTAGCTAAAGATGGAAAAAAAAGAAACAAAAATCGTTCTGACTGAAAGCATGGGGTTTGTGCCCTCAAACAGGACCTACCCAGAAGAACTTTATGTGCCCGATGCCCATAACAGCCAGAAGAACAGCTGTGGCAGTGAGATTTTCTCTACTAATATAGCAAATAACCACACTCTGACGACAGTAGAAAAGCAGAACTCTAGCATACAAAATATTCCATGCCCTAGAGAACACATTACCTAAATTCTAAAGTGGGATCAATGATAACTTTCAGCACTGAAAAGCACGTACCTATCAGTTAGAAGCTCTTCTCTTGTGGACAAGGCTCCAAACAGCAGCACAGAAAACAAGTACATAGCAGTTGTTGTGAGAGTTGCAGATAATGTTCCAATTGGTATTGAACGTTGTGTATCTTTCAGTGAAGCAGATCGATTTGAGCCAGCCATAATTCCAGTGACTGCTGGGAAAAAGAGACCTACCAAAGCACTGAAAAGTATACAAAAATGTGTCAGCAAGTTGCATTTGCACAGACAAAGAAGTCTTGCAGGCCCGTAAACTTTGTTTCCAATAATAGAGTTTTTTTTTTGCATGAATTCAATAATAGAGTTTGATTCATCTCCAGCCTTCAGTCTCGCAAGGCTAGACAACAGGTCCCTAAACTCATACAGAAGTTTTACATAGGCCCTTATAAGTCTGGATAGTCCCTAAACTTGTCGTCCTTGGTCAAATACTCCCTCCGTTCCTAAATATAATGTTT